AACAACAACAACAACAACAACAACAACAACAACAACAACAACAACAACAACAACAACAACAACAACAACAACAACAACAACAACAACAACAACAACAACAACAACAACAACAACAACAACAACAACAACAACAGCAAAATGCAACTATAGGCCCTCCGCAGGAAATGAAACCTGCGGCCCATGGTATTCCCGATGGTGCAACGTTCTGTACACGGAATTACAGAGCCTCGATTTTCGGTATATTTGTCCGCCATACCTGCTTTTGTTGACGTTTTCCTTTCTCTCTCTCATTCTCCAGATCGTTCAACAAATCCAGATATTTCTGATGCAACCCAGCCAGACACTCTCCAACGCCATCAGTCTCATCAACTGGCTGCCTGATATCAACATTTCCCTGCTCCAGATCATTCAATAAGTCTTTCAATCTTTGAAGTAGTTTATCTTTGTCTTCCACGTCTCTGGCTCTTCTCTTCAACTCGTGGTCTGCTTCGTCTAGACGGTCTTTCAAAGCTTCGTTTGTTGCCTATATTTACGGAAAATTAAGTGTACAAAAATGAACTGGGCTTCCTATTTCTTGCTGCAAAAACCGACAGTAGGTATACAGGGGGTAGGTCGACGTTTCTTCTTTTTTGTAAATTTTCTTATAAATGCTCAAGCATGAGAATGATATTCTACATCAATTTCGGCAAGCACAAATGGCACAAACATTCGTTAAATGTTATGTTATCCAGAGAAGCCCGGCTATTAGTAAAACCAGGAACACTGGAACACCGAACAGCGGAACACCGAAACAGCATGACTCCGGAACACGGAGTTTTTTTACTTAATTTTAAGTAATTTTTACTTCGCTAAAAATTAAGGGGGTGGGAATTATTGTTGGAATAATTATTGCGTATAACCTCCTTCATTCTGACTTGCCAATAACTATTAATAACGAACAGAAATCTGTCTCAGCACTCTCACACCATAGATATCTTATATACACTAGATAGCGCATCTCTTTTAGTAAAATTGAAGCCAAAAATATTCCAGCGGTTACCCCCATTTGAATTGATGGCGGCCATGTTAGTGTTTCCCACTCGCTAATAAACGCTTAAAAAACAACAATAACTTTCATCATTTGAATAGTTTGAAAATGTATTTGGAATAGGTTTAACTTAATGTTTAAGTCCCCTGTTTAAGAAATAGAAAACATACGAGTCTTCTCATTTCATGGGAATATCCTGAGTCTGCAATCACGGCTTCAATTTTTGAATTGCAGAATAATTAGATGCACTACCTAGTGTATATAAGATATCTATGACTCACACTCAGTGAGTGGAAGTTCAATCTGAGCTTCTCCCGAGTGTCAATGCTGTTTTTGAATAGCTGGAGGATGAGTAGTCACATAGTAAGGTATGACACTAGCCCTCCAGCTATTCAAAAACAGCAATGACACTCGAGAGAAGCTCAGATTGAACTTCCACGCATTGAGTGTGAGCTTCTAGAATATGGGCGTTAAGGCCCACACAGACCGAACGCAATTCGGCAACGCGACGCGAATTTTCAGTTTTCAAAAACAAATAAAACCGTCAACGGATAAAAATTTTACAAGATATGCAGACCAAATAGCTAAAATTGCTTAAGTGGTTCCGAATATTTGAAAAACAGTGAAAAATATTAAAGTTAAATGTCATTGAAAACTGAAAATTCGCGTCGCGTTGCCAAATCGCGTCCGGTCTGTATGGGCCTTTAGTCTTCGTGTCGCAAGACTCGAGATTTTCCATTTGCCCACATAGCAAGGTTTTCTAATTCCAAAGTTTTACAAAGTAATACATTTTTGCCCGAAACATAGAAATCAAGCAAGGTTGCAACATACCTTTAAAGCACTGACTTGTAAAGCGAGTTCTTTTATTTCTTCTTCCTTGTCACCAATCCCCCTTGCGGATTCTAAAGCTTTCGCAATACGCTCTTGGTCTCTTTCAACACGTGACCTTTCAGCCTCACGTTCATTCTGGATGAGAGAAATAGACAATTCCCATTATAGACTAATTTTAAAATTAGGTAAGGAAACTCAAAAAAATCACCACAGCTAGAAAGAGCATACGAAAATTAGTAAAATTACAAAGTTTGGTTGCGAAATGTTGTAAAATGTGAAAAATATAGCCTTGCAAAGTTTGCAAATTTTGTATACTTTTGTATTGCTTGCGGAAATGCCTACCACATTCCTACCACATTTAGGCCGAAAATGTCGCACGCAATACAAAAGTATACAAAATTTGCAAACTTTGCAAGGCTATATTTTCCACATTTTACAACATTTCGCAACCAAATTTTGTAATTTTACTAATTTTAGTATGCTCTTTCTAGCTGTGGTGATTTATTTGCATCTCCTTGCCTAGTTTTAAAATTATTCTGTAATGGGAATTGTCTATTGAATACATTCACTGGGAAAAAATATCAAGTTTTTATACGCTCTCTGGTTTAAAATATTTATTGATTTAACGAGCTTTCGGCCCCAGTCTGCGGCCTTCAAAGAGTAATTTACAACGAGATATTACAATGGTTTACAATTACATTTATAATATAGCATTTGTGAATTCTGAACGTTGATTGGCTAAGAAAGCCATGTTGATATAACTCAATGTCAACACGGAAAATTTCTTTCTATATATTTCCTCGTGCTATATTAAAAAAATACAAAGCATTTTTTCCGTATTGATATAGTTATATCAACACTCGTGGAAATTTGGAAAACTCGAAATTTCTCGTTTTCCCAATTTACACTGGTGTTGATGTAACTGTATATCAACAGGGAAAATATTTTATATTTGTTAAATACAGACAAAAATACAGAGTGACAACGAGTGTTAATATATAGATAGTGTTTCTTTGGTAGAAATCAAGCGATATTGTTCTGGTAATATGCTATCCAGTTATTAATCATATTTTATATAACACCTCATTAATTTCTGGTCATTTAATTGACTGATTATGATCACTTAATATGGAATTAAAATTCCCATTCTGTTACCGTGCAAAAGTACAAGTATCCAATATTCCAGTGGATTATATGAAATGTTATGAAACCAAAACTACTGTGACCGAAATTACCGATCGTATACGGTATTATACAATTATTTTATGGGAATGTTTCACTTGGGAATGTTGCTCGAGTTAAGAAAAGCGCGCAAAATCACTCGCCTCGCGTACGGCTCGTGTTTCGCGTGCTTTTCTTAACTCTTGTAACATTCCCGCGTGTTTGGATCAGGCCATCCAAACACGGAAACCACAAAGTAACTGTTTTATAAAATAACAACTTTCCGTGTTAAAACTGATTCAAACACGGGTTTCGACCAATCAGAGAACGCGTTATATACATGTTATTTTATAAATGCAATTCCATACCTCAAGCTGTGCTTTCAATTTCTTGACGTTGTCTTGAAGTCTTCCAATTTCTTTGCTGGCATGTTTCAGTTTGCCGTCGGCCTCCACTAATCCTAGCTTGTTGTTTTTCTTGAAGGCCGATAATTTATCCTGCAATTCGTTTTCTCTCGCCTCAGCCTCTTGCGACTTTCGCTCTTCATTCTTCAAGGCAACCAAGGCATCTGTAAACGGTTTAAATAGAGATGGATTCACTAAGCACCATTGCTCAACTAACAGTCATCAGAATGAGACAATATATACCTGGTGTTCCCAAAAAAAAAGTCGACACTGTTTGATTTCATGTATAACGTAAAAGTTATGAAAGCTATCGCAATAAAATAACATAAAGATCATTGCATTCAGAAAGGACTAACTTAGATATTGATATACAGGGTGCATAAAAAAAGGTAATCGAACTTCAGCGCGCTATTGTATCTGACTTACTCTGCGTATGAACGAGATTTTTTCACATTCGGAAAGATCATGCTTTTAGCTGTTGAATGATATCTTCTTCATGCCAAATGGATAAAAAATGAGCAAAAACGAGTCCGATAAAAAATGTTAGTCAGAATCGCATATTTTCACCGTTGAGAGTTGGGTCTAAAACCATTGAAAATGAACCCCCTTTGGTACTTAAGTTGATGAATTTCACTTCATTAAACTACGCACATATTCATAATTAATTATTAAGTAGGAATAAATCTTAGCTAAGCTACTACACGTTCGTGATTAATTGCTTTTTATTTTGTTATGCATTGTTTTAACTAGGCACAGAGGTGAAAATATGTGATTTTGACTAACATTTTTGATCGGCCTCGTACATGCTTATTTTTTCTCCATTTGGTACGAAAAGCATGTCATTCAATAGCTAAAAGCCTGATCTTTTCGAATATGAAAACCAATTGTTCATATGCCGAGTGATTCGCGTATAATAGCGCGCTGAAGTTCGATTACCTTTTTTTTATACACCCTGTATAGCACTTGAATTTACATGCAATATTGAGCAAGATACAACCAACATTAAAATATTTATTATTTAAAGGGATATGGCAATACAAATTAAGTTTGTCTTATTCGAAAGAACGTTTAAAATTATATTAAAGGAATACCGAATGGTTTTCCGTGCAGGATTGCGATCGATCCATGCACGGAGAGATGTCGCGAGACTTTCGGAAAGCGTAAAAATACACGAGGCGCAGACGAGTGTATTTTTACGTTTTCCGAAAGTCGAGCAACATCCCAAGTGCATGGATCACGCTATCCTGCTTGGAAAACCGTTTGGTAATTGTTTTATAAAATAACTACAGTGAAACAATGACATTTTTGAGAATCCCGCGAATGCATTTTAATTCCCCGTGCAGGATAGCCTGATCCTGCACGGCTATTGATCAATCAAATTGCGTGTTTCACTGTAGTTATTATATAAATAAACTTCTTTACAATTATTCCGTATCTTGCTTGGTTTTCGAAATAAATCGACTTATTTTGATCAAAAGTAGCGTGCATTCCGCCATCTTGGATATGCATTCGATATGCATACGTCACAAATAGGGTAAAGAGCGACATTTTTGTCTTGCCAACCATATGTCATTATCAACATGAAAGTCTTTTTAGTACGCAATTAACTCACAACATTTTAAGAAACTTTTCGAAAAAATTTAGTCCCACATGAAGAAGTTTTAACAAGTTTACCCCTGCTTGTGACGTCATCAAAACTCAGTATTAGAAGGGTGTCCGTGTTAGAAAGGTGTCCGTATCAGAGAGGTGTTCATATTGTATTGTCCGTATTAGAGAGATGTCTGTATTAGAGAGATATCCGTATTAGAAAGGCGTTCGTATTAGAGAGGTGTCCATATTGGCATATTAGAGAGGCGTCCCAATTAGAGAGGTGTCTGAATTAGAGAGGTGTTCGTGTTAGAGAAACGTCCATATTAGAGAGATGTCCATATTAGAGAGGTGTTCGTATTAGCGAGGTGTCCATATTAGAGAGATGTCCATATTAGAGAGGTATTCATATTAAAGAGATGTCCATATTAGAGAGATGTCCGAATTAGAGGGGTGTCTGTATTAGAGAGATGTCCGTATTAGAGACGTATTCGTATTAGAGAGGTGTCCATATTAGAGAGATGTCCGAATTAGAGAGGTGTTCGTATTGGAGATGAATTAAAGAGATGTCCCAATTAGAGAGGTCAGAGGTGTTCGTATAAGAGAGGTGTCCGCATTAGAGAGATGTCCGTATCAGAGAGATGGCCCAATTAGAGAGGTTTTCATATTAGAGGTTCCGTCAGGATAGGTTCAACTCCAAAAACTATTTAACCACAATACAATAGACCTTTCCCCTTATGAGTGAAATTTTGATCTAGACAAGCATGGACAAAAATTTCATCACAGCTTGAAAGAGCATCACAAAATTAGTAATATTCCGTGTTTCAGTCATTTTGCGTTACAAACGGGAAATTGGTAATCAGATGATCAAACTGATTACCAGGCCTAGAATATATATTTGTCTTCCTGCCAGCAAAATCCAAAAATAAAAATTTCCTGTGTAAGTCAATTATAAGACTTGCTGCATCGTAAATTGCAGAGAACGGATGGTGTCGCACATGCGATAAACTTTGATCTCAGCACAAGACAAACTCGTCTTGCAAAATGCTTTTGGACTTTTTAAACAATAAGTAAATTATATGGCATTTCAGTTTATAAGATGACAGGAATTTCCTGCAAGGTGTAAGAAAATTTCCTGGGAAGAAATTTTGTCAAACATTTCCTGGCAGCGGTGCTGCTGGCGCTGCCGGACATTTTCCAGCACTGCCGATTACCAATTTCCCATTTGTAATGCAAAATGACTGAAATACGGCAAACGTCGCAAGGTTATATTATCCGCATTTTACAACATTTCGCAACGAAACTTCGGAATATTACTAATTTTGTGATGCTCTTTCAAGCTGTGATGAAATTTTTGTCCGGATTTGTCTAGATAAAAATTTCACTCAAAAGGGCAAAGGTATATTGAAAAGTAGCAAGGAATTTTATACAACTGGCTCTAAAGGACTTATTATTCTAAATCTGTCACTTACATTCTAATTTCTGCTCCATATCCTCTAGCTTCTCTTGTACATCTTTGCCTTCTCTAAGCTCAGCCCTCAAGTCATCTCCCTCCTGTTCGAGATCTCGAATTGTAGCTTCTTGTTCTTTAGTAAGATCTTGTAGTTCTACTAGGCGTTTGTTTAACGCTTGGATAACTCCTTCGAGTTCCTTCTTCAGCTGTTCGATCGCTTCCTGAGATATTTGAGGATCTAGGAAATAATGGAGAATAAAGTTATTCGCAATGAATGAATGAAACTGCATCAATGAGGATGGCATCTTTCCCATAAAAGGGGTTGGAATGGAAACGTATTTGATGTCATATTAATTTCACTAGTAAGATAGAAAACTCAATTCAGTCAAGAAGTATTGATTTTACCCTTGCAATAACGACACTGACGGTGAAAGGTGCACCCCTTCAAAATCTGTACCGTGATAAACCCGAATCCGCAACAAGGGAGCAGTCACCTTATTTATTTAGTTATTTATTTACTTATTACTTTTCGCTATAATTGTTAATAATATACATAACATAATATACATATATCTTAAACTCATTAACAATTCATGAGTAAATTAGCCAACCATACTGCTTTATTTTGCTCGCATGATAATACTGGATACCTGGTGAAGTATATTGATCCAGTCCTAGGATCGGATCAAAATTAATTCAGTCCTTGGAATGGATCAAAATTAATTCACCTCATTATAAGTAATGATTTATTCGTATGAGATGTCATTTCAAATCCTCCAATTCGGACTGGACAAGTCCTCGTATTTTAATCCAGTCCTCGTCTTCGCCTCGGACTTAATCAAATTGCGCGAACTTGAAATCTAGTCCAGTCCTCATAGTCGCATTTGAAATATAAACATCACAGACTAAAGTTATACATAAGAGTCACATAGTTGGGTAACCGCAACAGCTGCACTGTAAATTTCAAAGAGATGAATCAACTCGAAAAGGGTCTCTGCCAGCTCTGGTGCCGAGTTGTGTCGGTCACATGCGCCGCCCGCCCATCAGCATACAGCAGTACTTGACTACTGTATTTGAACTATAAATGTTGTTCACAGTTGGCTTATCATCATATTATGTATTACTCAAATTACTGTATCTCATTTTGTCTCTAATATTTTTTTGCTTTATCATGAAAAATAGCACACACCCCTGCCCAGGGCTACGGGGGTGCGCACCTACCATACCCCACACCCCAGTAAATCCATCCCTGATTCAACTGCTTGAAATTTATAAACAAAGCTATAATCTAAATTGTACATTTGCAATTTTCGATATTATTACTTGTTAGTGTTAGTGGTTATTAGTTACAATTAGTTACAGCAGCGGACCTCAATAACTGGAGGACGTGCCACATTGCACATGCAACAAATGGATTTCCATGTACGAGGGTCTTCTATGTCGCAGTTTAATTGTACTGCGGGGTGGTAGTAAAGAAGTAGGCTAATATAGTAATATTTACCAACCTTCTTCCAATTCTCTCCTCAGTCTTTCAACCTCGGCCTCTTCCTCTGCAATTCGCTGATTCAGCAGTTCTAAGTCTTCCTTCAACTGCAACAATTTGTCGTACGCATCTTGTAGTTCAGCCTCCTTTGATCTTAGCGCCTGTTCTAGCTGTGTACAAAAGAGATATAAGAAAAAAACTACCTATGTCAGTGGCTTGTTTGATCACATTTTATATATCTTATTGGATTCTGATCGTTTAATTGGCTGTTTATGGTCACGTGATATTGAATAGAAAATTCCATTTCCCAAGAGTGCAATGGAATACGTTCCATTGCACTCTTGCGAGTGCAATTGTACTATACGTTTTATTCCAATGCACTCTTTGTGTTTTCGATAAATCGCATCCGTCAAAAAGCTTCTCGAACGGTGATCGCAGTTTATTTTAACCCGATATTCGAAACTCAGTAAATGGGATTTAATGCAAATACGACTCGTCATAATGGCGGGAGCTTACAGTAAACCTTTTAATATTAGTCTATTTTGGTATTTTAGAAAACAAATAATGAATGTTTTTATTCGTGCAATGGTAAGAATATTTTCATTCGGTGAAAGATGGAATGTTCCATTCAACTCGGCTGTCGCCTCGTTGAATGGAACATTCCATCATTCACCTCATGAAAATATTCTTACCATTGCACGAATAAAAACATTCATTATTTGTATATTAATCAGCAAAACTCGAAAACGTGCTTTATGTTCCTCGGGTAGTGAATAGATGATTTCACCTACAAACTAAATTTTGATCACAGCAAGAAGAACGAAATCCAACACCACAGCTAGAAAGAAGCCCTGTGCAGTTCGCAAATTTTGTATATATTTGTATTACGCGCGGTAAAAATAACCACTTTCGGCTCAAAAATGGTTATATTTCCACGCGCGTAATGCAAATATAGACAAAATTTGCGAACTTCACAGAGCTGTATTCTCTTCATTTTACAACAATTCGCAACCAAACTTTGCAATTATTTACTCATTTTAAGATGCTCTTTCCAGCTATGGTATCGTACTTTTTGTCTAGATCAAATTTTTGTCATCCATTTGCCTTTTTGATGTTACTCAAGTTTGCGCAAAAACAATGTGTACAAAACCAATCTCGGTAAACTTTCACAAAATTCTGTCTAATACGGTTTGAGACAGTGATTGTGCAAGCACTATGCGTGAATCGTATATTCAGGGTGTTAGCCAGGGGGCGGTTGTTCAAAGCTAGGTTAACTTAACCCTAGGTTAACCTAATATTCAAAGCAAACTTCCTGACAGCTTGTCTATAAATTTGGAAATATTTCTTCAGAGATCTTGTCGGAATCGATAAGAGTTTACTTCTCTGACGTTTTGAGATAAACAAACGTGCAGAAATACACAAACCAGAACAGGGGTTAAATTTTAACCCAGGGTTACCGCTAACCCACCTTTGAACATCCGGCCCCTGAAGAATAAAAAATTCGGCAATTTAATGAAATCGGGAAATTCAGTTATCCCGCGACAAAGAAATGTCTTCTATAAGAGATTTTAACTCTGGTCTGAATGTCACGTTTCTTAAGTGGCATTCTTGTGGCCTAGCGAAAGGTGCTGATTGGCTGAGGCTCTGAGCTAAATTGGCTGAGCTAAATTGAAACCTTTGAAGTACAAGTCAAACAGACGTTGTGTTGTGTCCTAAAAACAGACAAATATATTTTAGGCCAGATGGCATCCTCCCAGCGCTAATCTAGTTTCCAATTCTTCTTTAGCAAAGTTTTGAAAAGTTGAACAATCTTATATTTTTTATAATATTTATGTTATTTTTGGCAGGTCTAAACTGGGGAATTGCTAGCTAAACGAAATTGGGAAAACGGCATATAACGCCGAATTTTCGACTGCATAGCTAACACACTGGGGCCGGTTGTTCAAAGTTGTGCTAGTTTAACCCTTGGTTAACCTAAAATTCGAAGCAAAGTTCCTGACAGCTTGTCTATAAATTTGGAAATATTTCTTCAGAGATCTTGTCTGGATCGATGGGAGTTTTCTTCTCTGAAGTTTTGAAATAAACGGACATGTAGAAAATAACAAACAGGTAAAAAACATTCACTTAGGTAAACCATGGATTATAGGTAAACCATGGATTATAGGTAAACCATGGATTATAGGTAAACCATGGATTATAGGTAAACCATGGACTGTAAGCCGAGGTTCGGAAGTTAGCTCATATCCTACTTGGAAAAGTAACGAGAATCAAAAATATATTTGGATTACCTGTGGATCATCACCGCTGCCGCCAAGTCTTTCTTTCTCTCTCCCCAGTTCCTCCAATTCTCTCTGTTTTTCAGCCACGTCATCCGCAACCATCTTCATTCTCGCTTCCAGTTCCTCCGCGGCTGCCTGAAGACGCTTGATCTAGAAGAGATTAAGCTAGAGATTGAATACATTAAGATATTACGGTGGCTTGCTGCAGTTATCCCAATTAACCTTTCTCGCGATGACGAATATCCACCATTCTTGGGTGCATCTAATTCTCGTTAACCAATGCAGACAATTAAAACATTGTGAAAAGCAATTTTTCAAAGTAAACTAACCATTTACAAAGAGAATTTACCATCATTCGTCCAAAAAGTTAGAAAAAGTCGCTGTTATATGTGGACTTATCTCGCAGACTTCGGCTGAAAAGCCACCCAAAAATGGCGGCGTGAGAAAGACTAATTGATTGTTTCACATGCAATAGCGGTGCCATATTGGAATGGGAATGCATTCTTGTCTATCTAGTGCAACTAAAAGATTTAAAGAGTTGCATATCTAATACATCGTCCAAAATTTTTTGCTATTTTTCCTTTAAATACAGCTAATTTTCAGACTATAGCGTGATATAATTGAATTTCAACGCACAAGCGAGATGCCCAAATATCTATCCATATGGACCTTATACTGGCTTAAAAAACTCATTAATAATTCATGAGGAAAAGACGAAGGAAATCACCAACATGTCGGTGGTTTTATGTGATAAAAAAAATCATGTTCATTTACATAAACTTAAGCCTTGATTTTCTCGGCTATAGACAACGTTTATTTTTAAAATTTCTTCGCCAATGTATATTCATTGTGATATTACTTTCTTAACTGTGTTTATCCTAACCCACCCTGTCGACTTTCCCTGTGGGAGGAAACCGGAGCACCCAGAGAAAACCCACGATTTTCGCCAGAGCGTTGACTGACTCTTTTCGCGTGAGTCCGTAGCGAGAATCAAACCCACGATCTCAGAAGTGAAAGCTCTGACGACGTCTGCGCCGCCGAAACCTACTTATATATCTGATAAAGCCCCTTAATTTATATCTAATAAAGCGCTAAACACTCCTGCTCGTGTTTAAATAGTATATCTATATATATACCAGAACTTGTGGTTACACCTCGACAACTGCGGCCGGTTGTTCAAAGGTGGGTTAGCGCTAACCCTGGGTTAAAACGTAACCTGCTGTTCTGGTTTCTGTATTTCTACACGTCTGTTTATTTCAAAACTTCAGAGAAGTAAACTCCTGTCGATCCAGACAAGATCTCCGAAGAAGTATTTCCAAATTTATAGACAAGCTGTCAGGATGGTTGCTTTGAATTTTAGGTTAACCTATAGGGTTAAGCTAATCTAGCTTTGAACAACAGGCCCCTGGACTCTATATCCTCAGTTGGTTAGAGCGCTACACCGGAATCGCAGGGCCGCAGCTTCGATTCCTGCCAGAGCATCTATAATTGCATTTTTCGCAACTGCTCCTAGTCATGGTCTAAAATTGAAAATAATTTTTCGCTTCAAATTTCCATCTACAAAAATCCTTCAGCATATAATTAAAATTATTCGATCACAAAGAGACTTACACCAAGAAAAGGCTACACCAGTCTGCATGGAAGCTAGTGTGAAAATATGTTTAAAAAACTCATTAATAATTCATGAAGAAAACACAAAGAAAAATCATAAGCGTGTCGTATCTGTATATGTGATACAGATTCATGTTGATTTACATAAACTTTAATTTTGATTTTCTCAGCTTAGACAAAATTTATTTTCAAAATTACTTCGCCAATGAACTCATAAGATGAGTCGTTTTTTAAGTTGTTTACAACATTCGCGTCCGTGTTGTATCGGATATACAAACTCTCGC